GGGATTAGTATGTCCCACAACCTTAGTACCTCTACACTTGTGCAGTCCTACTCTATAGACCATAATTGCCACAAGAAAAGGCTGAATTTGTTTGATGCATGACTCTGCAACTGCCACACTTTGCAGTTGACATGCCCTGCTTATAAAGTTATAATGAAGCATAATGAAGCTCCATCAGACATACTTTCCCCTCTTCCTCCGGTAGATTAATAAATTTGTGTTTGAAGTATGTCACTGTGACCTCTTAAGGCTTTATCAGGACTTTGGGGATGGTACCATAAAATGAATGGAAGTAGATTTAGTAGACAGAGTCTGACTTTGCATACTTCATTGATCCATTAGAGGAGTTCAGTAAGGAGATTTTATAGAGGCAAGAATTTCAATCTCAAAATTTTTTTTTGTATATTGATAAAGTCACTATCAAGCTATTTAGATTCGCATCATTGCCAGACATCCATTTTGATTATGATATACAGCAGAATATCCTATATAAACTAAATAAGATTTTTCATGATGAACTGGGATGTTTTGTGTCATAATCTTATTCTATTATTATGTTTGCAGGTTTTCATCGCTATTTCACTTAGTTTGGGCGATGGGCTTTACAATTTGATTAAAATTACTGCAATCAGTATTAAGGAAATGTGCAAAATTATCATTAGCCAGAAGGATCTTCCCATTTTAGAAGAGGTCTTAGGTAAGAGTGGTAGTCCGTATGGTTATTTGACATTTCTCATTTATATTGTACTAGCATTTTCTTTTTATCTTTATTATATCTTTCCATTTTGCCTATTTAAGTTGTTTGTGGCATGAGCTCTGCAGTTGCAGGCGCAATCATAGAAAAAGAAACTTTATCATTTCTCCTTTATATTGTACTAGCATTTCCTTTTGATCTTTATATCTGTTTCATTTTGCTTATTTAAGTTGTTTGTGGCTTGAGCTCTGCAGTTGAAGAAATAATTCTTCTGACACTATCCTTATGTGGTTCCCTTCCAAGCACCAAACCCCACCCCACCAACCCCCCCGCCCCCAATAAAAAATATAACATTTCCTAATTTGAGTTTGTACTAAAACCATAGATGGTCTGCACATTCCTTGACTGCTATAGTATCATGAAATTGATATCCTATAATAATATTTAAACAGATAACAAGAGTTCCAAATCATTGCTGGAGGGGAAAAAGAGGGATGGAGTATTCCTTAAAGACAGGATTCCATTCTGGTTTGCTGCCTCTGGATATGTTGGCTTGGCTGCAATATCCACTGCTACAATACCAATCATGTTTCCTCCTCTTAGATGGTATTTGGTAATTTGCTCATATATCATCGCTCCTGCCCTTGCCTTCTGCAATTCCTATGGAGCTGGGCTAACAGACATGAGCATGGCCACGATATATGGCAAGATGGGCCTTTTCACTTTTGCTTCATTAGTGGGAAGTAATGGTGGTGTTCTTGCTGGGTTGGCAGCTGCTGGGGTAATGACGTCCATTGTCGCAACTGCAGCTGATTTGATGCAGGATTTTAAGACAGGCTATCTGACTTTGTCATCAGCCAAATCTATGTTCGTTAGTCAGTTAATTGGAACAGCCATGGGGTGTGTCATTGCACCGCTCACATTTTGGTTGTACTGGAGCGCTTTCGATATTGGTTCTCCCGAAGGTCCATACAAAGCACCGTATGCCGTGACGACTAGGCAACTGGCTATTTTGGCGATTCAGGGCTTCTCTGAACTTCCTAAGCATTGCTTGGCATTTTGCTTGGTTTTCTTCGTTGCAGCTCTTGTTATAAACTTTTTGAGGGATGTCGCCCCTAAAAAGGTGTCACAGTTTATTCCTGTACCAATTGCAATGGCATTGACATTTTATATTGGAGCTTCCTTTGCAGTTGACATGTTTGTTGGTACTGTAGTACTTTTTGTTTGGGAGAGGCTAAATAGAAAGGATGCAGAAGATTATGCACCAGCTGTTGCCTCAGGTTTAATATGTGGTGACGGTATTTGGTCAATTCCTTCAGCAGTCCTTTCTATCTTTAGGATTAATCCACCCATATGTATGTACTTTGTCCCTTCGTAGAAGTAGCTAGAACTAGGGATTCTTAGCCTTGGTTGGGCAATCCCATCTTTGCCGTTGACTTCTGGCCATAATCCACCAAGGATTAACTATTTGGATTAGCTATTTTTAAGTATGTTTTTAAAATATTTTACTGTAACAGTATGTATGAAAAACTTCTGTATAAGATTTTTTTGAGTTGTTTTTGTTTGTTTGTATGTTACTGTAGCATTGTATCTGAAAAATTAATTTTTAAAAAACAGGGAAATCGAAACAGTTTGTTTACACAATTTCACTTGGGGTCTATCTTTCACTTCTTTTTTTTTTTTTCCTTTTTTTATGGTTGAGTATCTACTCCAAAATTAGCTACTAAACTTGACATATCTTATGCATGAAAAACAAATGTAAAGCCAGTTCCCTCTCCCAAGCGTTACTTGCAAGAGAGTGAAAACAAAAATATTTTAGCCAGTCTCAGTCTCATTTTACTTGTTTATTTGACTTTATCCAGCCTAATCTAAATAATGCATAATATTTTATATAAATGCCACTCCAAGGTGCCTGGCTGCCTGCTGAAAGATCGAAGAAATTATTTCCTAATTTGATTGGCAGAAATCAGAATGCTTTTGGACAGGGTTGTATTGTTGAGGGACTATCATAAAGAGGGTGGTAGGTCCAGATGTGACTTTAAAGTATATCACGTGCATGAATGCATATGACATTTTGTTGCATGGAATTTTCTGTTTGACATATTATGGAGTTGATGGGGTTTCCTTCTACTTTTTTGGCTTGGATGCAGAATTGTGTTCAAACCGCCTTCTTTTCTTTGTAATGGATGGATTTTTTTTCTTTTTTTTAGGATTAAGACGAGATGATCCTACTGATATATGAAATGGGAAAACCTCATGTGGCTATGCTGAGTTTTTACTGATTCAACTAACATATGTAATTAGTTTGGGATGCTTAGAGGTGCATTACTAGCGCGACATCTTGCTAGCCCGAGAACTTTTGAGCAGCATCCACGAGTTTCAAATTATTAATTGACAGAAAGTAACCTAAGTAATGTTGCTAATTTAAAATGTCGCTATTACCAAGAAAGAAAAATTCCAGGTGACTAATAGCCCAATGAACCAGTTCCATCAAGCCATTATGGGATCTCTCAACTCTTCTCAACTAGGCTTGCAACAAAGGATTATCAGTGCTTGGTGGACAAAATCACTGCAACAGTGAAGATTCAGCTGTGGAGTTCGACTACAATTAGCTAAATCTATGCTATCTAGCATTCAACTTTGTTAGAGTAGCTTTTTCATCTTACTTGAAGCTGTATTTTGAAGAAGACTGAAGGCTTGCCGTCCTCATCTTTTTGAACTGGTCAAAGAGGCAAGTAAGCATCTTGCCAAGGTTCATGGAAGGAAGTATATATGTACCATGTATACCTTTCAATTAAAGCAGGAGGACTTGGCATTAGAAGCTTGGTGCTCCAAAAAAAGAAATTAAAAACTCTTTTTTTGGATATTTTGGGTGCATCCTTTGGGTATATTGTCTGAAGTTTCTCCTGAATTTTTTTTTTTTTGATTAAATAGGATCAACAGTGATTCTTCACTTAATTCATTGACAACTCGAATCCGTGACCTGTTGATTACAGATGAAACGTCTTACCAATTAAGTTGCGCTTCACTGTCTTTCTAAAAAATTTTAAAGCACTGGGTTGTACTAAACAAAGTTATGTAGCTGAGATCATCGCAGATAATTAGTCGAAATGGTCCGAGGGTCCTAGGAGGAGCCCTGAGGTAAATGAAACTTTCCAATTATGGCCGGCCTATGGCTTTTAATACTAAATAAAAGAAGACTTGCAAAATGCAGGTGGCCTTTTGACTTTTCGAGTCTGTGACTAGACTTTGAAAACAATTGCAATGTATTTTTGTGCCCAAACACTAGCTGAAAATAATCAATGGTGCATAGTATTTTATTTGGTTTCCACTTACATTCGTCTAGAAATTACACTAATGATAAGATTCGATTCAGATGCAGGATAATGCCACCACATCTCCATGTGAAAAGAAAGAGTATGACACATCGCATTGGGACATCAATTGGGAATGGCCAAAGAATTATTAAAGCCACTTGTTGACCACAACTTTAAGTATTTATTTGAGGTTTGCAATCAAACCTCAAATAAATATTAAGTATGTTAAGTATTTTAAGTTACAAGTATCTTTTGTTGAGATGATTTATTAAGAGATTTGTTAGCAAAGATTATATTAGTTTGTTTCATGTATCTTTATAAATAGAGAGTTCCTAAATAAAAAATTTAAAATCCTTTTCATTTCTTCTATACAAGGCTTTATTATAAGCCCTTTTTTTAGTACAAAGTACTTGTATTGTTTCTTAGTTTATACTCTAAATTTCAATAAATTGGTATAAAATGCCAATAAGTTGACACTAGTACAGTTTCTTTTTTCTGTGATAATATTTTAGTACTCCCTCCATCCCATATATTTAGTTATATTTGGAGATATGTGCTTTTTATACATAGTACACTCCACACAAAAAATTTTCCTTTTGTTCCACTTTCGCCCTTATTCATGTGCTGGTCAAAATAAAAAGTAGAGGGCAATCTCATTACATTTGTCTTTATGCATCATTAATGAAGGGTATAAGGGAAATTTCAAAATATAAAGTAGTTAAAATGGCAAACATGACAAATATTTTGAAACAAACAAAAAAGGAAAGTACGATACTTTCAATAGAACGGAGAGAGTATTAACGTTTGTTGTCTAGCGTCTGGACCTGCTATATTAATTCACATCCTTTATGAAGCAAGTATTATTGACCATTTTCTGCAGGGAACCCCAACCCCAACCAGTGATTTTACACCTGTAAAACTTTTGTATATATTTTGAGTGTTTGCCAACGTGAGCTTCAACCTGCATTTGCAGATGTTCATGATGAAATATGAATTGTTACTTTCCATGTTTGCTTATTCATTTTCTCCAGGCTTGCATTGCCTCGACCACCCCACCCAATATCACAACTGATCAATCTGCTCTTCTTTCATTGAAACCTCTAATCACTTCAGATCCCTTAGCCAAAAACTGGTCTCTGGCATTTCCTGTATGTCAATGGACAGGAGTCACTTGTGGTGCTCGTCGACAAAGAGTCACTTCTCTGAATATTTCAAACATGGGTTTTACAGGGATGATACCTCCAACCCTTGGGAATCTATCTTTCTTGGTTTCTCTCGACCTGAGTGGAAACGATTTCGATGGCCAACTACCCCATGAATTAGCACATTTACGCCGATTAAGATTCCTTAATCTAGGAATCAATGACTTCAGTGGAGAGATTCCATCATGGTTTGGGTATTCTTTCCCGAAACTCCAATACCTGAACCTTGCAAACAATAGTTTTCTCGGTTATATTCCACCCTCAATATTTTCTAATATATCAACTCTAGAGCAGTTGCAGTTGTCATTCAATAATCTAGAAGGGACTATTCCAAAAGAGATTGGAAAGCTTCACAATCTGACGAAATTGATCTGCGAACGTAACCAGCTTTCAGGGTCTCTACCATCTGAGATCTTCAATGTCTCCTCCCTTGAAATAATTGCATTACGAGCCAACCATCTATCCGGTAGTCTTCCTAGTGATATGTGTCGCAGACTCCAGAAACTCTTCTGGCTTAACCTATCGGAGAACAAGTTCAACGGTGAAATACTATCAACGTTGTCTCAATGCTCAGCACTTCAATCGCTATCCTTGTCATACAACAATTTCACTGGGATCATACCAAATGAAATTGGGAACTTGACGGAACTCCAGCTTCTTTATCTTGGTTCTAACAATTTAGATGGTACGCTATTGTTTCTTGCCTCTAGGGAGGAGATCGGGGCAGTTTGCAGAGGCAATTTCATGGTGTGGTCTGTAGCCGGCTCTGGTTGAATGACATTGCCTTGATCTAGAATGTCCATGTCAAAATTTTAATGAATGGTCTGGATCGAGTAAATCTAATTCAGCCCACACCATTTTTTTTTTTTTTGTAAATTTATGGATGATAAATATCTATACATCAGCTTGGATAGGAGATTAATTGAAAAAAAAAATTATCTAAAATAATATCGTAGTATTTTTTATGATATGATGTATATGAAATTAAAAAAAATTGATTGAAACTTATGCTTATGATGTAAGTATAATAAAATTTGATTTTTTTTTTTTTGTTGCAAACATTGATAACCGAACAAACTAAATATTTTATTACAAACTTTTTAGGTGAACTTGGTAGGCAGCTTCAACTCTAGACCTTTTGGCTAAGTTTTAAGATAATCACTGTGAAACTATATAATATTCCTCTACCTCAAATTGTTAACATCAATTGAAATTACAATGATGATTAGGGCATTTAAAGACCACAAGGTCCAGGGATGAGCTAGCCAAAAATTTGCCATATTTGCTATAGTTATTTTGCAAGATAGTTATTAAACACAACTTGACCACCAACCTAGCAAGGGGACTGGTTCAATGAGTTTGCAGTTTAATTATTGGTCGACTGGTTGAATCGGTGGTTCTACAGTATGATAACTAGTATGTTTGAATAATTTTATTTACTATAAAATAGACGAATAATCTAAAATAATATTGTGGACCAAGAGCTGCTAATTACTTTGTAAGCTCTAGCATACGAACAAAGCTAGAGGTTGCCTACCGGAACCTCATCAATGGAAAAATGGGAATCTTTTGAAGATTGTCGGGTCACACTAAATTGAACTGACCCGGTTATTTGTTTTTACCGATTGAACCGATAATTTTTTGACTTTTCAATAGGTTTCTTTCTATTCAATCAAATTGGAAATCTGAATCAGCGAAGTGGTTGATTTATTAGATTCATCGATTGAACTGTCAGGTCGAGCTGTTTTAATACTTATGTTTTTTCACCTACTTATCGCCACTAGTCCTGTGCAGATGGGAGATTGCATATTAATGTGTCCTAGTAATTTCTATCTTAATCAATCAAAAATTTTTCCCCCAACTTTCCACCGATATATAATCTTACTCATTGTAGAGCTATCCAACAATCCTCAAGGAATCTACTTCTGAAAATAAACAACATTTGGTATGTGACAATTCGGTACTTCAGAATATCTGGTTTTAATTGGTCTAATTCCTCTTTTGTTTGAAGAATACCCAGTTTTAATTGGTCTATTTTCCCCTGTAATGCTATACAAGTTAAAAGAGAAAAATATATTATATTAATTAATTTTTAGATACGTATATATTTGTTTCACGTTTTACGTTTTTTTTAATATTAGTGTAGATATTCCAATAAAATTATATTTTTATCAAAAGGGATAGCAAATGGATCTCCGACTTGGGAATTGAAAAGAAAAAACTATGAGAAGAAGATGAAGCTGATAGGCAAGTTAAAGCTTTAAGTTTCAGTCTAACAACTCTTACACATGATAAATTAAATTCAATATCAAAATGGAATATCTGACCTTATCTTTTAAATATTTTTTAATCTTATAATAGTCCAAAATGATCCCATGATACTTTTCAAGATTACTCCCTCCATCCCAATTATTTTATCATGTTTCAGCTATCCAATTTTGTGAAAAAGGTGATTTGATTGTGATATATGTACTTCTCTTTTCAATCTTATCCCCACAAATTCAAAATTTGAATTTGAATAGTGATATGCATAGGTTTCTCACGATTTCACTGGCCTCCCTTGAAATTTGTAAAATTACACTTATCTCCCTTGACAGAATTGTGAGCTTAGTTACTTATATCACATGGAGAGAAACTACTCATATACCCTAAGACATTATGCCAAATTAGAAACTAATATCTAATGATTGAGTAATTAGAGCACTAATTAACTATTAATAACCAACTAATGGAAATAACTGTTGGAAATTTCTTTAATGATGAACGATTACTTGCAATTACAAAATAATGTCAATTGATATATCAAATGGCACTATCTTATGATTGATAAAACTTGACAATGACTAGAAATAAGTTGTATACAATATGAGAAGAAAGGCTTTGGTAGAACAAAAAAAACATAGGGCAAAAGAAGGTTGTTCATGAGGAAATTTTCTTTGAAACTCTTAAAGTTGTGATAGTTGTAAAAGAATTTTGTGGAAACAAAGGATAGAGGGAAAAGAAAGGCAAAATTCAAAGTTATTTTTCTGTTCAAAATTATAAGAATCATAACAAACCTCATGTTAAGGACGATGAGTGGTCTATTTTGCTAAATCTTGTGATCATTAGTGTAGTTTTGTTGCTTATTTGTGTTGCCTAATGTATTGAATGTGAACTTTTTGAATAGTGAAATGTGCGTGTTGATTATTTGTAACTTTTAATTATTTTCATTCTTTTATTAACACAACTTATATACATGTTTAAGGGATATTTATGAAATAAAAGTTTCATGGATATTTATAAAATAAAAGTTTCATCTCTCATCTTAAAATACTTTTTAAATGTTTTTTTTTCCTGACTTGGACTAATTTTGTTGTCAAGACTTTAGACTCGATGGGGGGAGGTTCATGTAATTTAATAAACCACATGGGAGGCTAGTGAAATTCTTAGAAATCTTAGGAGAGATTTCTGAAATTATTCCAATATGCATATGATTAAAGGGAGGGACTATATTAGAAGGAGAGACTAAAATATGTTTTAATTTTCTCAACGTGACAAATATTTTGAAACATTCTAAAATGGAACACTTTAAGAGGAGTACATGATAGCAGTTATATTGCTCAATCATTCCCGCACTCATGTCACTAAAAGGTCATATATATTGTCATGTGATGGAGGCTTTCAATTCAGTGGGATCAGCAAAATGATGCACAGCCCTGTAGGTCATGTTCAAAGAAGAGCACAAAATTTTAGCATAGGCAATTGTGATTTATTAGAGAGGAAATAGGATTAGATTAAAGAGTGATAAGTAGGAGATTAAGCTTAGAATCGTAAATTATAACAAAAAATCCGTAAATTATTGAAAATAAAGAATGGATAATAAGAACGTAAATGGTTTATGAGAATTGAAAAGTGCTTAAACCTGTCATTAGAAGGTATATCCAGAGCTACTTGGACACCTCCATGTTTAAACTAAACGAGGTACTCTTAATATTCTGTGTTGAACCTGAATATAGGATCTAAGTTGCATAGGTCGAACATTGAAATACGGTCCGGTACAAAGAAATAAATTAGGGGTGGACTGAATCTAACAAGCCAAAACTCTAATATTCAACCATGTTTGTTCATTTTGACAAATTTAAATTGCGACTTATTTATGCATCAAGCTAAATTCATTTGTGAGCCAATTTCGAATTGAGCTCTGATAGTTTAAATTTTGTTAAGATGGAATGCAATTTGGATCCTCAATGTGTATCAAATCTCTTTGGTTGATTACCAAATATTGTGAGTTTCCTCACATTTTAAGATTCCACCGAACCTTACTTTTAAAGGGTTGATTGTGTATCACTATTAGTTTACCTTCAGAATTCGTTCTTGCAACCATTCCAGTTATTCGGTCTCATGTAATTCAGATACAAACATTGAGCACCAAAACCGCATTTATTTCATTCTGTTGTGTAATAAATTTCAAATTTTGTACCAATAGGCCTAAGTTTGGGCTGAACTTTAAATTTCGTACCAATACACCAAGCTTGTTCTCATTTCTTTTAGATTTTACAAAAATTGATTGTGAAAAGTGATTATAGCATTATAAATTCCAAAATCTTAACAACGCAATAAATCTAAAGTTTACTCTAGTATAAAGTTTAATACTATTGTAGAAGAACAAAGCAAATCAAAATTACACGATTCAACACAAAATCAATTGAAATATTAAGTAGAAAAGTACATCTAAAGATTTGATCTAATATGTTTATTCTGCACTAACACCAGCTGCAACCTCGTCCACAAAAGCCTTGACATTAAGGCTGGAGGATCCTCCATCTTTGGCAGCTTCTACAGCCAACTCCCTCCATTTTTTAGCAGTCTTTCTCATCTCTTCACCTCTCGCCCCACCATCCATAACAATTTCTAAGCTTCTTCTGATCTCATCAGCCTCAACAGTTCCTTCTTCGTTGGCCATAGGCCTTATTCCAGTCTTCCAAACATCTTGAATAAACTTTGCATTGGTAGTTTGATCTGTCCAGAGAGGAATTGCCACCACTGGCACCCCAGAAGCCAAACTCTCTAGAGAAGAATTCCATCCACAATGAGTCACAAAGCATCCCACAGAAGGGTGTGACAAAACCTCCACTTGTGAACACCAAGAAACTATCAGTCCTTGCTTTTCCAACTCATCTTTACAGCTTAACTTTTCCTCCAATTTCTCACCCTTGGGAGACTTCCTAATCACCCACAAAAATGGCTTCTTGCTTTGCAGCAACCCTTGAGCAATTTCCTCTAGCTGTTTTAATGGTAAATCTGAAAAACTCCCAAATGCTACATAAACAACAGATGCACCGTTCTTGGAATTCAGCCACTCGGCACAATCTTTCGTTTCCTGAAGCAAGTCCCCACCAAACGAAGAATCCCTTCCATCTAAGAAAGCTGAAGGAATCAAAGGTCCAACAGCTACCAGCTTCAACTTCACAGCAGCCTTGAGAGTCTCAGATTCCAAAGCATCAAACGTATTTACGAGAACTGTTGGCGTTTCTTCCTCTTGGAGTAGTTCAAAATGTTTATTGATCGCTGGCAAAGCAAAACTGTAGACATCAGGATTTGAAGCCAGAAAAAATGAGGGGAGATCTCGGCTAGCTAGTGTCGGTAATCCAGGTAATTTAATTGTTTTACTGCTAGAAATATCTCCAATAATTTCGGCACAGCCATTGAAGAAACAATAGTAGAGTTGGAAAACAGCTGCTGGCTGTATCCAAAGAAGAGTTGATGGAATCTGAAGTTGACGAGCAACTTGACCA